ATTACATATTATTTTCAAATAATTATATATTTAATTATTTTGGTATATCAATTCGTTATTGTTATACATTATATTAATATATTTATAATAATATTATTTTATTATTATTATAATATTATACTATTATTAATATAATATAATATTATACTATTATTCATATAATATAATATTATTAATAATGTTAATATTATGTTATTACTAGTATGTTAGTATTTATGATATAAATAAATATTATTACATTATGAATATATTATTTTTACATTAACATTTGTTAGAAATAAATTATTTTATTTATTAAATAATATACTAATATTTTATATATTATATTACATTTACTATAAAATATATTATTATAATATTATTATTATATTGTTATTTTATTTTTAAATATGTTACTATTATATAATATTTTATAATTATTAATTTATTACAGTTTATTTATTAAAAAGTTAATAATATTATAGCGATTATACTATTGTGTAGCATATTATTATATTATTATTATATTATTATTTATTGTCAATAACTTTTTATTATTTTTTATTAGTTTATTTATATTTTATTATTATTTATTATTATATAATACATTGTTAACATATTAAATACTAGTATTTAATATGTTATTATATTGTTATATAAGATATTTTATTTATTATATTTTTATATTATTTAATAAATATTACTAATATATTANNNCTTTTTTATTATTTTTATTACTTTATTTATATTTTATTATTATTCATTATTATATAATACATTGTTAACATATTAAATACTAGTATTTAATATGTTATTATATTATTATATAAGATATTTTATTTATTATATTTTTATATTATTTAATAAATATTACTAATATAGATTATACTATTGTATAGTATATTATTATATCATTATTATATTATTATTTATTATCAATAGCTTTTTTATTATTTTTATTACTTTATTTATATTTTATTATTATTCATTATTATATAATACATTGTTAACATATTAAATACTAGTATTTAATATGTTATTATATTATTATATAAGATATTTTATTTATTATATTTTTATATTATTTAATAAATATTACTAATATATTAGATTAACTATAATATAGTATAGTATAGTATAATATAGTACATAGTATAATAACTAATAAGTATGTTGATAATAACTATATGTTAATTACATTTAATATATTATGTTAGATATTATATTAACATCTTCTCAAACTCAAAACCAAAACACCAAACTTAAAACACCTTTTAGGTATTTTGAAATAAGTGTTGTGGTTTTTGTTTGAGGATGATTTAGCTTAAAAAACACCATAGTTTTCAAACGCATGGTGTTTTGTTTTGGCAAAAACACCATGGAAACAAGTAAAACACCATGATATCCAAACGGAGCTTACTAACTTGGAGTTCGATGACAACGGGTATCTTTAATGAAATGTGGAGGTTTTCCTAAGATGTGACAAAAGAAGCGATTTCTAAACTTGATACTGAGCTATCTGGTAAAAATTTTCAGTATCCAGATGTAATAGATTGAGCAAAAAGAACCAAGAGTGAATGATCTTATATTGTTGCTGAGATGAATGAAATTCTCTAATGTGACACCAAATGAGGGCTTTGAGGTAGAATACGGGTCTTGCCCGTGTATAAGGACTCTAGTAGGGAAAAACCTGAGTATCTATCAGGTACTTGTAGGTTGAAAAGGGATTCAGCGGCAAGTTCAATTGTACTGGAACATGGGAGTAAATATAAGAGAGGATACTTCAGCAAAGCATATCGAGGATATAATCAAGTCATGTGGAGAAATCCCTACCTAGCAAGTTGAAGTAGGTTTCTAGGCCAAGAATTCAGCTTGAGATCAGCCAAGTACGATGCATAGATTCGGTTTATCGAGTCAAGAACATGAAGACAACACCTGATGCTATGTATATGAATGTAAATATTAAATCCAGTTCTCAGAATACAATTCTGAAGGAGAAGAGAACCTAAATGCAAAACACTGAGGCCTTTTCGAGAAAATAAGTTAAACACAGAACAGTAAGTTCAAGTAGGTTGGTCATGAATATGACAAAATCAATGAAGTTAAATCTTTGAGGAATGTACCTTAGGATTTTGCTGGATTTCACATATTTTAGCCATAAACCACCAAATCTAGGAGAAGTCCAGACCATGTCAGCAACCACAAAAATTGATAAGTTTATGATAGGAAAATATAATAGCCAAAACTAAATGGAAAAAGTTGATGTATAATTGGAATCTGTGTATGAAACTTGGATATTGATTCGTAGACTTCCTTGCAGTTCATACTATAGACCATATGAACAAGGCATTTATTCCTGTGAAGCCATCAATTTGTTTCAAAGCTACAGTTTGTGCTCAGATGTTATCATACATCCAGACCTTCCATCTAGAAGTCATCAAGTCAGCGAATATCTCTGATCTAGAAAACTAAGATAACTGAAGATGGTATCTGAAACCTGGCTGATTCTGCATTCACATTTGTGTTCTGTTCATTAAAGCAAAAGAACCTAATTTTATCTGACACTGGATAATCTTTACATCATACCACAGATTAGGAAAGCAGGAGGCTTCAAAAAATAGAGGTTAATCTTCTCACCTGTCATCATTCTACTTGCATCTCTTTGAAAAATGCAAACATACATAGTCCTTCATTTGCAGTTTTCTAATTAACTACGAGTCACGTAGCTCAGAAACTTCAAGCACCAAATTCCAACAGTGTCGGCAGACTGACGCTTCTTGCACACTCCTCAGACACGCGTTGGACAATTTTCAAATGCATCCTTGATTTTACTGTCTTTTAAAATTCCAGCGTTCCTTCAATACTTCTTAGTCACATCTACGTCTGGCATGCATTTTATGGTTCTTAAACATTTAACCCATGTTAATGCACGTCCAGATGCACACACGCGCGCTGTTCACATATGCTAGAAACCATAACATGCTGTTCACATATGTCAGAAACCATGTTTTATGGAAATAACATCAAAATAATAACTTGTATGTAACAATATTAATATTTAAGGCATTGGGCCCAAAATAAGGTGTATTTAGCTATTGTATAAAAAGATCATGAATCGAGGCCTATGTCCACTTAAATTATGAATCAATGTAAATATTATATTTTATCCAATTATTAGAATTTAGAAATATGCATGCGTTGTGTTTTCATGAGTGTGCATGTTTATGAATATAGTGCATTTATATGCACTGATGCACAGCGTATCCTTTTCAATATATACAACATGTCACCAAATAGAAGATGCTCCGATGGTGCTGTAATATTGTTCCTACTTTTTCAGAAATGATCATGTCTGTATCCTGTATCTGTATGCATACGCCTTGAGATAAAAATAAAATGATAGCAGATGTCCATATAAAGTGCAGGGTTACCTGCTGTATTCACCGTAGTCTCCACCAATCAAAGAAACCTAATACCTCTAGTACCTAAAACAGGTTACTTTCGATTTTACTACTCATTTACATGTTTTCCTCATGTATTTGCTTTTCAGTTTCTAGGATTATCTTCACAAGCAAATTATGGATAACATGTAGGCAATAAAGAGATAGTACTGACATATTTCCAATACAATTTAACTGTTAGCTCCTAGTAACCTTTGGATTCTCTGTGTGGAACAATCTTCTCCATCCTTCATATCTTTTTTGTATAATCTGAACCAGAAGCAGAGCTCAGTAGTCTTAAGCATACTGTAAAATTTTGACCGACAGTATAATATTTGTCAATTTCATGTATTATACTTTTGAACTTCAAAAGATGTAACATCTCGAGCACCTGGTGCTTCTACTGGAGACCAATTACCAGTGGACCAACTACGAAAGACTTCAACTTGGTAAAGCTTGACATTTTCAGACATATGAAGTCTTTGCATATTTAATTTTGCCCATGTACCAACTATGAAAGACTTCCAACTTATTAGTGACACCAATTGAGCCAAATAAGAGGAGGACTACGCCACTAAAGTAGCAGAGATGAAAACAAATACGTAGGCATTGATGGTGAACTAAAAAAGATGCTAGGGTACTTCTAGACTCATCTTAACCTGCATCCCTTCATCAAAATTACAAGGAAATAAAAACCTGGAGGAAATCTTTTATAGGTTAATCTGCAAGATCCAGGCATATAAAATATCTGGGTACTGTGTGATACAGATTGAAAACGTTACAGTTTGCAATGTGATGTTTCCTACTGCGGGTTAAAGAACAAGTTTAACAGAACGGTAAGATGAAAACTAAATGCACAAACATCGGTCATGATTTGCATTCATAGATAAACAAAAAAGGTAAAAGCATCAACTTTTCTGCTCAGCATCAACTTTTCTGCTCATTATAATGCTCTATTTCATCATTATTCCTAAACATAATAATGTGCTCTAACCAGGAGGGGTTCTACTTCACTTAATCTGTCAAAATATTTGACTGCAACACATATGTTATTCATGTAGAATGATATATAGCCTTACTTAAATCGTTAGCATGCTCCTCAGAATTCTTATCCTCAACGAACCTCCTGCAAAATACACCTTCAGAAAACCAATTAGGGGAAATATATATATATATATATAAACAGTGTGCGCTACATCCATTATTCAGTAAAAACCAAGAAGATTTGAAGAGAACGTACAAATAATTCCAGACAACAGTGTGCACTACATCCATCCAGTATTCAGAATTTCATTCACAAAAATCTCAGTTCCAAAAACAAATACCAATTTGTCCTCAAAATGTTTCAATATCATATTCATCTTCGGCTATTGAAGCTTTAACTCCTCACTCCAATAGAACCCAACCCTTCCATCGGACTGAAAGCATAAATGCAAATGCGATATAACTTGATGGCTTAGATAACATGAGAACTGCTTGAAGCAACTCAAAATTTTGGTCAAGGAACTTGAAGACGCTCCAGATAAGACCCAAAAGGGAGACAGATATAAAGAGCATCCTTACGATGCAGGGCAAGAAATATTTTCCAATCTATTCAAACATATCAAATTTATCAACCATTCAATCCCAGACACAAATGGGATCCTCACTCGCACTGTCCTAGAAAGGGGGAAATGGGAGAAGAAAAAAGAATAAAATTCTCAACCATGCACATAACAGTATCAAACACACCTAATAATCACTCTTCCACGCATACAAAACTAATGAAAACCCTAAGCTCCGCAATTGGGTTTCTTTCAGCTCTCGAGAAGAAGACCACGGCAACGACTTCTCGCTCGAAGAGCAGGATTGAAACATGAACACCGCATTGCCAACATGCCCTCCGAAGAGCCAACTGTGAACATCCCAAAACACTTCGATCGAAACCCCATCAACCAAAATAGTTTGGTTCCCTCTAAACTTCCAACAAAGCCTTTTCACTTGCAAAACCCTCTTCTTATCGATCCGAATCTCAAGCGAAGGATCTCTGGGTCCAACCGTCTCACACTCTATAGCAACATCATGAACTTTCCCGTTATCGCAAAACCGAGCTCTCGTACAATGAACCTTCTTCCCAAAAATATGCTCCTTTTTAGCTACAAACACCGCACTACAAGGGGAAGGACCTGCATTAGCCTTTCTCATTGCCTCTTTATTCATATCACCAAGCAACAGGACCACCTCACGATCAAACAAGAAGGCAACGTAGAACCCTTCCAATGGTTCAGGCCCAGATCCAAACCTTGCAGCCGAGAGATCCCAAAAGATTTCAATCTTGGCACTGTCTGCTTCCAGTCTCTTTGATCCTTTCCATTTAGAGAACAACCAAGGCTTTACATCAAACTTGCAGAGGCATTTGTTTGCGGAATCTTCGATTTCGATGTTGAGACCTTGACCCATCAAGTGTTTGCTCCAGCAGAGAGTGATCGCATAAGAATTGTAGCCAACCTGAGCTTGATAGATGCAAGTCACGAGATTGTGAGCAGATTTTGCCGCATTGGATGAAGAATCTACTACTTGCACGCCGCTTTCGCCGAAACAAGAGGGGAAATCCTTCATCCTGATAGCCAAAGATTCAATCTTTTTCACAGAGATCGATTCAGCTGATCAAGAACTACGGCACGCGACCAGAAAGCTGTGAATTTGTCACCAATCTCAATCAAAGATCACAACCCAAGAGACCCACTTGCAGAAAAGCCTGCTACCAAAGACGCACAGCGAGAAAATTTGATTTCATGAAGGCACAAGACAAGATTTTGGGAATGTGGGCAGTCGTAAAAAGGGCTAGAAAAGGGGAAAAGGGCTATAAAAAGAAAGAACAAGAGGCACTCATCTCGCTGTCAGAGCTGTTTCAATTCCAGGCCAACTCGTATATTGAGTGCTTCCGTTAACGAAAAGAGAGATGAAAGAGAATGGTAACTGAGCTGGCAAAGGGAAACTGACCCATCATTAGAGTTGGCAATTGAGAGCTAATTAAGCAACAAAAGCAAGCATTGCTTAAAGAATTACATCTATCATGATGCTATTAATGAACTACAGCAAATAACAACTGTACTGAAAATAACAGAGAGTTTTTTTTTTAAGGACAGGGTCTTCTTCTCTTCTTCATGGTATGGTAATGGTAACTGAAAACTGTTACTTTTATTTTGGTGTTTCTATTTTGCCAATATACCCCCAAAGTCTTATCTTTCTTTAAGAATCACCTCAAACCTGATTGTTTATTAATTTATCAGTAATCTCTCATTTAACGTCGTTAAATTTTAAAATTAAAAAAGAGAAGAGGAAAAAAAAAGTATTGTCATCTCCTAAAAAATAAGGGCATTTCGCCCGTTTATCCCCTTAAATCTGAGTGTAAATCCCATCAGAATCTCTCATATAGTGTGAAAATACTAGGTTTAGGATTACCTTTTGGATATTTCTCTATGCACTGTCTAGTTCAATTGCGTCATATCATGCCGGCCATTTTGATAGAACTTTTCTTTTCAAATATATCCTATTTGCATATTTACTTGTCAAATATATTTTTTGTAATTTACATCTATGGATTTTAAAGTTATTGAATGAGAGGGGAACATAGGTATAAATTAACATATATACGAATTTGGGGAATAAAGATGCAAGGATAATATATCTAAGGGTATATAGGCAAAAACCACTTTGTGTTATCGTATTTTATTCATTTTGGTTTTTTAGGATCTGGGTCCATTGATAAGGGGCTGTTTGGTTCCTTTTTTTTTGGTTGGTAAAAGTGGGGAAAGCTGCCAAAAATATCAGTTTTTTGAAACTTTTCCTCAAAATCATCCCTTAAAAAGATGATTTTGGAGGAAAGCTGTCAAAAAGCTGACATTTTTGACAGCTTTCTACTCTTTTACCACCCAAAAAAACCTATCCAAACAGCCCCTAACTGCACACAGCAGCTGGCATAAATTGGCAAAGAGAGGAGGAAACTCTCCTCACTAGGAAGAAAATAATGGGCCCCGTGGGACCGCAAAAATTAATAAATAATTTATGAGGAGGCAACTGAGGCTAATGGCATTGAAAAATTCGGTTCACAAGATGCGAAGAATTGCGAGTTGGATTTAGTGCAGGGATTAGGAAAGGAGACGTGATGCTATACATGATGGGAGTGGACCTAGTATTTGGTTTGGGTTTGGTCGGTGGATTTGACTTGATCAGCTGTGTTCAGTATTTGTGACGGTAAG